AAGTTTTTTGAGCTCTTTATATATTCTAGCTACTGATCCTCTGTCAGAAGAGCAGCTAGCAAAGATTTTTCCCCGTTCTGTGGGCTCTGTCTTCACATTCCTAATTGTTTCCTTGGCTATGCAGAAGCTTTTTAATTTGACGCCATTCCATTGATTAACTCTTGGCATTACTTCCTGAGCTTTAGGGGGGCTATTGTCTTTGCCTGTTCTTTGTAGCTGCAGAATTGACTCTTCCTTTTCTTCTAGGGGTTGCATAGTTTCTGGTCTAATTCTGAGCTCTTTGATCCATTTTGATTTGATTTTTGTGCAGAGTGAAAGATAAGGGTCTATTTCATTCTTCTAGATATAGATAACCTGTTGTCCCCACACTGTTTATTAGTTCTAGAAGTCTTTTGGTGGAGTTTTTTTGATCTTCTATGCATAGGATCATATCATCTACAAACAGTGATAACGTAACTTCTTCTTTTCCTATTTTTATCCCTTTTAATTCCTTCTCTTGCCTAATTGTTTTGGCTAGAATTTCCAGCAATATGTTAAGTAAGAGTGGTGAGAGTGGACATCTTTGTCCTAGATGTTAAAAGAAATGCTTTCACTTTCCCCCATTTACTTTGAGGTTGGCTTTGAGTTTTTGTTTATTTTTATGTAACCTTTATGATGTTGAGGTAGGTTCCTCTATCCCTAGTATCTTCATTGTTTTTGTGTTATCATGAATAAGTGCTAAATTTTGTTGAAATCTAAGTGATTTTTGTCTTAATTTTGTTTATTTGATGATTATATTGATTTGCATATGTTAAACCATCCTTGCGTCTCTGGAATAAAACTAACTTGGTCATGGTGAATAATCTTAACATGATTTGCTAATATTTTAATAAGTATTTTTTGGCATCTAAGTTTATCAGGGCTGTTGGTCTATAGTTTTCTTTCTCTGATGTGTTTTATCTGGTCTTGATATGTGTGATCCTGGCTTCATAGAATGAATCTGAAAGTGTTGCTCTCCTTTCTATTTCATGGAATAATTTGAGGAGTATTGCCATTAGTTCTTCTTTAAAGATTTAGTCGCATTCAGCTGAGAATCCATCTGGTCCTGGGCTTTTCGTTGTTGGAAGGCTTTTTATTATTGCTCCTACCTCATTCCAAGTTAGGTTTTCTGTGTCCTCTTGATTCCTTTTTGGTAGATTTTATTTGTTTACAGATATATCCATTTCTTTGAGGTATTCCGATTTATTGGAGTCTAAGTTTTCAAATAGTCCCTGATGATCTACTGGATTTCTGAGATGTCGGTAGTGATTTCTCCTTTTTCACCTCAAATTTAAATAATTTGGGCTTTTTTTCTTTTTATTAGTTTGGCTAAGAGCTTATCAAACTTGTATATCTTTTCAAAGAACCAGCATGTCCTCTCCCTTTGCTTTCTCTATTAGCACATGTGGCTGTACATATGACCAAAGATCTCTGTGTCATCTTATAACATTCCCTGTCATCCATATTCTCTCTCTCTCTCTCCCCTCACCCTCCCTCTCCCTCTGTCTTTCCCTCTAGGGATTGAACCCAGGGGTGCTTTATCACTGAGTCACATCCCCAGCCCTTTTTATTTTTCATTTTGAGATAGGGTCTTGCTAAGTTGTTGAGGCTGGCCTTGAGCCTGCAGTCCTCCTGTCTCAGCCTCCTTAGTCACTGAGATCACTGGTATGTGCCTCTGCACCAGACTCTTCTGTTTTAGTGCCCTAGGTCTGACCTTTGCCCTATCTGTCACTGTTGAATGCTGAAGAGGACAGTAGGGCTCTGTGAATTTCTGTTTTCAAGACATCGGAAGTGGGCTGAACCAGCGGGGGCGGTCAGATTCTGACTGGCTGCTGTAGCTTATCAAGACACATCAAAGGCCAGGAGGGGAAGACAGGTCAACAGATGAGGCAAGCCTCGTTGGGGACACACTTTCACACTGCAGTCGGCACTTTCAGCTTGCTCCCACGCACTCTTCCTCCAGCCCTCGAGGCCCAGCAGCCCACCCTGCCTCTGTGTTCAGCCTCCTGCGCCTCCAACAGGGCAAGCTCTAGGGGCGCGCCCAGCCTTCATCCTGATGCTCCACGAGTATTTGAGTTATTTTCCTAGGTAAGGGACAGTGCTAGGGTTCGTTTCTAAGGACAAACTGTACAAAGACCACTTCCAGAGGAGCCAGGGTCACCCCTCAAGGCACTGCCCTTTACCAGGGGCGGAAGTGGACCTATCAGGAGATTCCCACAGGCTTGGAAATGGCTCTTGGTCTCTACAGCTCTCTTCCTGACCTGGGAGCCAGCTCACATGCTTGGTTCCGAGAGCACCCGGGTCCAGCAACCTTCACCTTTCCAGGGAGTCTCTGTTATTAAATCCAACGCAACAAAATGGCACAAATGAACTAGGCAGAGGCGCAGGGAGAGTTACATTGTTTGCTTGCTGTGTGTACCAAACTTTCAAAGTCGTTTCCTGAACCCCCATTTTGGGAGGCACGGTGTGGGTTAGGGAGCAGGAACATGGGGAGACCACGTGGGTATCAGAGTGAAGAGCGAAATGACAAGAGATGATTACAAGGGGGTAAACTTGGCTGCACATCACTCCTCCCAGGTCAGGGGGAAGAAGGACAGTCTCTGCTGGCAGGGACAGGCAACCAGTGACAAGACATCCACGTTCCCCGAGGAGAGAGAAAACATTCTTGCAAGTGTCCATCTCTTCACCCTGAGGTGCCACCAGTGAGCAATGTGGGTCCTACACAGAACATGAGGGAACAACAGTGGGAAGAGAGGGCGTCCCAGGCACGGCACAGCCCACTGGGGAGGGAATGAATAGAAAGACCCAGAACCTGGCTCAGCAATTTGGACTCAGGAGAGTGCAGGTCTGTCATGGGAGGATTTGTAAGAAGGGACTGGAGGGGTCAGAGGAAGTCCAGCAAAGTTTGCAATGCTGAGCAGTTTGAGTTGGAGCTTCCTCAAAAGAGAACAGAAATCGATCAGGTTGAGGACCTCTGGAAAAAAGGCGGGGAGGATCAGGTGGAGCAAGATGTGGCTATAGGTGCAGCATCATTTGGGATAACTTCCCAGGAAAAGAAAGCACAAGGCAGCTTGTCAGGACACAGAGAGAAGAGGAATCTGAAAGAACAATTGCAATTTGGGTGCTGGGGAAAATATGTTTGTTGGGGACAGAATTCAGCAGGAGACTCAAAAGGATCGAGTTATCCCAGGAAAAGCTCACCTGTTGACTTCCCTCTTTTTGACTGCAGGACTCTCCCAGGTATAAAAGCCTGTTGCAAGAGGAAGAGGAGAAAGAGGTCCAGTTAGACAAGGCTCCACCTGCTCCTGAGACCCAGCAGATTTGACCAGCCATCTGTCTACCTCCAGGAAAAGGCAAGAGACCAACCTTCGCCAGTGCTCAGGGAAAAGCCTAGTGAGGTCAGATGGCCTCCCTGGGAAGAGATGGGATAGAAGGAAGGACTGTGGATCACTCGTGAAGAGCGGGCAGAGTGTGGGGTGGAAAGAGGTCACGGAGTGAAAAAGAGGCCAGAGCGTGTCTGTCGGAGAGATGGTGCTGGCGAGGGTCTGTGGGGAATCTCCCATGTGTCTCGTCTCTGCCTGCCAGATCTCAAACACCAAAGAGATATGCAGATGGGCCAAGGAATATGTTATCAAGACTAGGTGGAGGTCTCAGGTTTTACTGTATTTTTAAATTAAATCAAATTTAATTTCTAGGCTGGGATTGAACTCAGGGACTCACACATGCTAAGCACACCCTGAGTCACACCCCCAGCCCTTCACATTATATTTAATTAATTAATTAATTTAGGCACTGGGGATTGAACTCAGGGATGCTTTAACACTGAGCTACATTCCCAGGCTTTTTTATTTCTTACTTTGAGATAGAGTCTCCCTAAGTTGCTGAGGGCCTTGCTAAGTTGCTGAGGCTAGCTTCAAATTTGTGATCCTCCTGTCTCAGCCTTCAGAGTCACCAGGATTACAGGTGTGAGCCACCACACCCAGGTCCTCGGGGTTTATTTTAAATGTCACCTTGAATGATAAATTGGGCAGATTTAAGGTCACTCTTGATTTACTTGTGCATATTCTTTCCTTAGGGATCAAGAGAGGGTGGAGTTTGCAGTGCATGCTGGGAATCATGGTAGTTCTGGGGAATCATGGGCTAGGTGTGGTGCACGGGGAGTGAAGGCCATGCTGAGTGGGGTCAGTGACTTTCCCAGAGCTCTAATCTGAGGCATGGCTGGGACAGCAATCCTAGTGACTTGGCCCTGATCAGGCCCCTTCCATTTTCCCAATTAAACCCCCAGGCTTTCTTCATTAGGCTCTGCTTGGAATGGAGAAATTGGGCATCTGCTGCTCACCTGGGGCTTAAGCTGTTTTCCCCTTATCCTCAACCAAATTTGCACTTTCAAGGGTGCCACTGAGGAACTTGAGTTCCAACACAAGGACTTGGGGAAAGAAAAGAAAAAAAGGGTAAAGATAAGGAAAGAAAAAAACCCCACAGATAGGCTGAGTAAAACTGGAGTAGAATTTGAAAACTCAAGACAGTCTTGTCTGCTTCTTCATGATAAAGCCACTTTTCCTTCCTCTCTGTTCACAGACCCATTCATCATTCCCAGATATTTGCTGAGCACCTACTATGCAATGGATACAGTTCTAGGTACTAAAGACACAATGGTGGGCAAGACAGATAGCATGGCTGCCCTCATGCAGTGCCCTTTCTAATAAAGACTTGGATACTTCCTAAGGAGGCTTCTGAGGCACCCAGAATTCTTAAGGAACTTTTTTTTTTTTTTTTTGGGGCTGGGTGTAGTAGCACATGCCTATAATCCCAGCAACTTGGGAGGCTGAGGCAGGAGGATCACAAGTTCAAGGCCAGCTGCAGGGACACCCTGTCTCAAAATAAAATAAAAAGGGCTGGGATGTAGATCAGTAGAGTGCTTGCCACATGTGTGCAAAGCCTTTGGTTTGATCCTCAGTGCTGGGGGGAAAATCGTAGGGATCTAGTCCCCCCAACCCAGCTTTTTTTTGGTGGGTGGGGAGTGGGATAGAGAGGAGGAAGGTGCTAAAGAAGTAATTTGATGGGGAAGCAGCGTGGCCTTCTTGCTCCACCACCCACAGCGAGCAGAACAAACGTCATTGGAAGGGTTGGTCTTAATTTCTCTGGGCCGCGTGGGGTCTGACTACTGCAAGGAAGTTGATCATGGATTCTCCTTGGTTTGGGACTGATCCCATCAGGAGCCATCCTATCTTTCCGTCTTTTCAGGAAGGATGGCCCCAGAGCCCCGAAGCATGGGACTTCTCTTCATTTACTGCATATCTTTTTTCTTTGGTCTCCCCGCCAACCTCCTGGCCCTGCGCGCCTTCGTGGGGCGGGTCCGCCAGCCGCATCCCGCGCCCGTGCACATCCTGCTGCTCAGCCTGACAGTGGCGGACCTCCTGCTGCTGCTGCTGCTGCCCTTCAAGATGATTGAGGCAGCCTACGACTTCCTGTGGCCCCTAGGGAATGCCCTCTGTGCCCTCACGGCCTACGGCTTCTACAGCGGAATCTACTGCAGCACGTGGCTCCTGGCGGGCATCAGCATCGAGCGCTACCGCAGCGTGGCCTTCCCGGTGCAGTACAAGCTCTCCCGCCGGCCCCTGTACGGCGTGATCGCCGCCCTCGTCTCTGGCATCTTGTCCTTCGGACACTGCAGCATTGTGATCATTGTCCAATACCTGCCAACCCACAACGTGAGTGACCCCGAGAGCCTCCCGGTCTGCTACGAGAACTTCACCAAAGAGCAGCTGGACGTGGTGCTGCCCGTGCGCCTGGAGCTGTGCCTGGTCCTCTTCTTCATCCCCATGGCCGTCACCACCTTCTGCTACTGGCGCTTTGTGCACATCATGCTCTCCAGACCCCAAGTGGGGACCAAGAAGCGCTGGAGAGCCGTGGGGCTGGCCGCTGTGACCCTCTTCAATTTCCTGGTCTGCTTCGGGCCCTACAATGTGTCCCACGTGGTGGGGTTCTTCCAGAAGAGCAGCCAGAATTGGCGCGCGTGCGCCGTGCTCTTCAGCGCTCTGAACGCCTGCATCGACCCCTTGATTTTCTACTTCTCCTCCTCAGCCGCGCGCAGGGCCTTTGATAGGGAACTGCGGAGGCTGCAGACCTGGGGGGCTTCCCTGTCGGCCGAGTGGAGAAAAGCCAGGGAGGCGGCCGTAAAGAAAGGAAAGGCGAGTGCAGGCATGGTCAACGACAGCTTCACGGGAGAATAGATGGTGTCGCCTTTTGGGGAGGAGGCTCCAAAAGGGAGACAATGAATCAGAACTGGGTGAGTTCTCCTGTGCCCCTCTGAACAGCCAAAGAGAGTCACAGGCACCTCAACTCCAACTCGCCCAATGAGTGAGTGTTTTCATTTCCTTCCTTGGGCTTGGTGACATTTCCTACAGTAAGCCACAAGCCCTTGCATCCTGGGACATCAGAATCTTGGATTCCTTATCTATTTCACCACTCAGTATCTAGGAGGTGGTGGCGTTTACTCACCTACCGCAGAGCTCTTATTTCTGACCGTGGCCCTGATCCAGAAAAGGGGATCCACAGGCTGGGTGCACGTCTCAGCATGGGCAAGTCTGCAATGCAAGGTGGGCACCTGAAGGTTCCCCACCAGCACCCCAACCACAGCAGGTGCTGCCTCAAGAGCAAGAAAAAGAGTCCTGCGGGGAAGAGTCTATGCAGGCTGAAGAAGCCCAGGTCAGGGTTCTTTGCCAAGTGCTGCCCTTTTGAGTTTTCTTCTTTTTTCCCTGATCCATCTTGCCAGAGATCTGTCATTTGTATTCTTTAGAAAATCAAGACCCTTTCCAGCATTCTCTCTGTTGTCTATGTCATTAATCTTTATTCCTATTTATTTTCCTTGTACTTTCTTAAATCTTTTTTAGTTACTTCATTTTCTTTTTTAAGTTGGGGGTTTCATTAACTTCACTCTCTCTTCCTAACAGATCCTCATGTAAGTGCTTAAGTTCATAGATTTCCCTGTAAGGACAGCTTAGAACAGATTTTGATTTGCAGAATTTTTATCAGTTTGAGGTCTGTGTCAGTTCTAATTTCCAAAGGACGTTTTTCTTTGGCTGTTGAGTTTAGAAATGTTTCTTTGTTTTTAGGCATGTGGGTTTTTACCTCCCGTCTCTCTTTTGTTATTCATTTCTAACTACGTTGCCCTGAGGTCAGAGAATATTATTGAAATGGGTCCAGTTCTTGGAAATTTGTTGAGTATTCTTTTTAATACCAGAAAAATAATCAGTTTTGAAAAGAAGACAGATTCTACAATCGATGGGTGGGTTCTGTCTGGGTTTTATACACCTCAGATTGAAGTTGTTAATTTGTGGGGTTCAAAGCTTTATAATCTTTACATACTTTTTTGTTGGTGGTGTTTGGGGTACCAGGGATTGAACCCAGGGGTGCTTAACCACTGAGCCACATCCCCAGCCCTTTTAAAAAATATCTTATTTAGAGACAGGATCTTGCTGAGTTGCTTAGGGCCTTGCTAAATTGCTGAGGCTGGCTTTGAACTTGAGATCTTTCTACCTCAGCCTCCCCAGCTGCTGGGATTACAGGTGCACACTACCACACCCGGCTACCTTTACATACTTTTTGGTCTATTCGATCTATCACTGACAAGGAGAGGGTGTGAGGTGCTTTTCTAGACGGTAAATTTGACTATTTCCTCCTTGTAGTTCTGTCTTGCTGGTGAATTGAAACTTTGAGCATTTTTTTTTGCCTTAAAATTGATTTTGTCTGATATTAATAGAGCCACACTGATGTGTTTTGAGGTTACTATTTGCTTGCTACACTTTCACCCAACCTTTTACTTGTAACATTCTATATTCTTGTTTTAGATGCATCTTGTATACACGGTACATGGTGGAGTGGTTGGATTTTTTTGGCAATCTGGTCTTTCAACTTGACACTGTGTGTCATTTAACTATATCATTTTGTTTATTTATATTTATGTAATAATATTTTTTCAATATAATCGGGATTATTTCTGTCATACTATTTTAAACAGTTTCATTGAACTACACACACACATTGAAATATACACGTACGTTGCACAGGGCCAAATGATAAGCATACAGGTCAAATGAATTATCACAGAGTGAACTCACGTATTTAAATTCAAAAAGACATGAAACATCTACTTGTGCTGTTTGTTTTCCTAGAGTTTTAATATTTCTCTTTTCTTCCCTCTGGCCTTCCTTGGGGACTGAGGTTTTTATTTTATTTTATTTTCTTGCTTCATTTCTTGTTCTCCACTAACTTGGAGAGTATTTGCTGTGTTCGTTTAGACATTGTAATATGCCAGGATTTCTCAGTTAGTCCTTCCCTTCTTTCCTTCCTTCCTTCTTCTCTTTAAATATCATACATTAAAGAAAAATCAATGCCAGGTGGTTTTGAACTGTGTCAGTCAAGTTCAGGAGTTCTAGAGTGTGGTCTGGAGACCCTTTCAGGGGTCTGGGAGCTCAAAATTATTTACATAATGATGCTAGCATGCCAATTTTTGTTTTTTTCACTCTCATTCTTTGACAAGTGATGTGCAATGGAGATTTTCAGATTAGTCTGTTATGGTGTCACATGTGACATGTGACACCATAACAGACTAATAATGCAGGATGCATGGAAATACGGCTGTCTTCCAGGAAGTCAGCCCTTAAAGAGATCTGCAAAAATGTAAAAGGACGCAACCCTTTTCATTAATTTTCTGAAAATATCATTATTTTTGTTAAAATGTGTTATTTTGTATTAATGTGTACTGGTTTTATGATTGCTATTGTTTTTCAATAAATTCATACACGTTTTAAATTTTTTCTCTCTTAATTTTTTAATATGCTGTATACCAATAGGTATAACCTATGCAAAAAAAAGCTCTTTGGGGTCTTCAATAATTTTTTAAAGTATAAAAGGGCCCTGAGGGCTGGGGTGTAGCTCAGTGGTGGAGCACTTGCCTCCTAGGTACAAAGCCCTGGGTTCCACCTCCCGCACTGGGGGGAAAAAAAGCCCTCAGATATTTGAGAATTGCTGATCTAATGAGATCCTAGATGTGTTTGTCAGCTCTTTGTCAATGTGCCTAAAATACACGACAAGAACAACTTAGAGAAGGAAGAGTTTATCTCTGTGGGGCTCATGGTCTCAGAGGTCTCAGTCCAGGGTCATCCACGCTCCATCACTCTGGGCCTGGGGTAAGGCAGAACATGGTGACCAAAGGATGTCATGGTGCGTTCCTCGTGACAAAAACACCCAGGGTCACTCCAGATGAACTGGGCTGTGCAAAATAACCACACAAGAGACAGAGAGACCTTTTTCTTTGGGTCCTATGACAGCTCCTCTGACCTTATGGGCCCATGGAAAGAGAGGAGCAAGTGCTGAACCCTTTTATTGGGAAGAAGCCATTCAAATGAGGGAAGAGAACACACAGGAATGGGTGAGTGTGGCTCAACCCCTGTGGGTGACATGCTACACCCGAAGACACACCTTGCTATCTGAGCTGGAACAATGGCCCAAGTCACCACAAAATATAGTGATTGGCCAGAGCCTCGTGCTTCAGGACTGGAAGGTGTGGGTCATTCAGAGTGGCTTCCCACAGAAAAGATTTTAAAAGTTTGTCAGGGAAAAAGTTATGAACAGACAGTGTGCTTTACTTTGGAAGGGGGATTTGTAAAACTCTACAAGTTCCTAAGATCTAATTTCTGCAACTACTTCTGTTTCCTAGAACATTGTGTTAATGGGGGAAAGGGGAAGGGTTGACATGAGCAAGGTTATCCTCGGCCCTATGTGGTTTTCAGGTCAATGCCAGGGAGGGTGAACATCCACTGGATAGGGACCTAGATGTGAAGTCAGGTCACTTAGTTTGTCTAAACTAGGTAAAATCTTTCTCCTAAAGCAAGGTTCAAAACAGCACACCCCCATCAGTACTTCACATCTCTTTTGTGTGTGTGATACTGGAGATTATTCAAACTCTCACCACTCTTATTCAATGTAGCACTTGAAATTATAACCAGAGCAATTAGGTAAGAAAAGGAAATTAAAGGGATGCAAATAGGAAAAGAAGTCAAAATATCTCTGTTTGTAGATGATGTGATCCTAGACTTAGGAGATCAATGGAAGGATTTCTCATGTTCTTAGATAGGCAGAATTAATCTTAAAACACACATCTTTTGATAAGTCTAAGGTTTGTGTTCTGTTAACCAAGTATGATTTGGAAAATACAAAATTATGTCAAACAGGCACTTTCAGACTCTATCCGGCTCACACAAAGCCCTTGCAAGATCCTGATGAGTTCACCTGCAGGGACTACACCCCACCCCCGTGGAGAGGAGAATTGATGACTTACGGGAAATCTCCAAAAGTTCCAGGTTCCTTATGTTTACAATGTCACTCCTGTGATGCTGAAAAGTCTCGTCATAGGGGACAGGGCAAGTGATAAGAAGGGGATGAAAAAGAGCTTATGGGGTGGCGGATCTGAAGATAACAGATTTATCACAAGGCGCCCTGTAATCCCTTTTGAAAACTGAGCCAGCCATCAGAGGCAGGGATTTGTTGGTAGACCTTCTTGGCAGAATCCCTTCTTCTTTAGCAACAGTATCCCTCCCTCCCCCTCTGTGGTGTGGTTTGGTAGAGTCAAATTCACCTCCCACCTTATACTCCAAAGGTAGATGTGTGACCCAGAACCAGGACCATCAGCAGAGGTCAGCCCCTAACTCCAGTGATGGTTCACCTGTGGGCATGTGACTCAGTACAGGCCAAGGAAAGCCAAACTCACACTTTATGCTTAACCATTAGGAGAAAAAAAAAAACCCTCTGAACTCGAACTTGAACTTGAAGTTAGCCTATCTCTTCTGGGGGAGCTACTTTGAGCCTAAGAGGCTACTGAAGCCTGAAGCGAACTCTAAGGCAACTAGAACAGAGAGAAAACATGTCCAGGAACTTTATGTCCCAAAGCAGGTCTACTCTGGGGCTTTTCAGATCTGGGCACCCTAAATTTTCCCTCCTTAGCTTAAGGCAGTTTGATTTTCAGCTGTTTTCAACCAAAAGACAAATCATTACACAAACCATCACAGTTGCAGCCAGCCTTTCTTCATTACTTTTAAAATCCAGTTTAAGAATTTATACCTGAGCTGGGTGCCGTGGCATGCACCTGTAGTCTCACCTGGGCAGGAGACCCAGACAGAAGAATCACAAGTCCAAGGCCAGCCTGAGCCACACAGGCAACACAGTGAGAAGCTACCTCCAAAAGACTCCCAAAACCAAAAGATTTAAGTATGGAAACTAAAACCATAACAAACAAGCGTACTTATCATGCAGAACGAATACACGGTGATATTTAGTCACAGTCCTCCAGATTTCTAACATTGGGGTCCCCATTGGTCCTCTTTCTCACTGCGTTTCCACCTTCTTTAAGAAAGACATTATTTTGGAATGTAAGTGCATCCTTCCCGTCCATGTTTTAAAAATGTACTTTGCACTTGAGTCCAGAAACACTGTTTGGTATTATCTTTGTCCATAAGTACCATACAGGTCAGGTCATTCTATAACAACCTGTTTTCCACCCCAAATCGTGTCTTTCATATCTACAGATCTCATGGATTTCTTTTGTCTGCTATAATATTCCATCATATTAATATACCAAATTATATATTTTTTATTCTACTATTGATAGACATTTAGCTAATTTCCCATTTGCACCAGCATAACCATCCTGCTGTGAACATCCCCCCAATGTCTCTTTATACGTGAGTGGGACAGCTCTCTACTAGGTGGTATGGAGGGTGCATTTTCAGTTTCAGTAGAAGCTGTCAAGATGCTCTGCAAAGAAATGGCATAAATCTAGCTCTTTCTGAAAAAGGGCTCATCAGTGCAGACCATGGCAGCCTTCCCACGGGCCCCCTCCCAACCCTAGTCCTGCAGGCAACATGAAGTACTGAGGAGCAGGGAATGTGTCAGGAAAGGCCTGACACCCTCAAAGTCACCCTGTGGATTGGTACATGTGCTGCACATATGTATGGATTGTGGTGGGGAGAAGTGGGGCAGAGGACCTCTCTAGAGCTCCAAGAAGCAGAGAAGCAAGTGGTTCGTCTCCCTGGACCATGCCTCTCCTAACCAAATCAGATGGTCATGAACATTCAAGAAAAGCATAAAGATAACAGGATACACTTCAATTCATCAAAGGGGTTTCTTCCTCAAGTTCACCTTTTATAAAGAAAGGGCACATGTGTCAGAGAGAAATGGTGAATGGAAACTAGAAAATTTGGGTCCTGAAGATGGTGGAGATGGAAGAGAGAGAGCAAAGGGAAAATTAAGATGCTGGGATGGTGAGGGAGGATCTGGGGTGGTGGTCGGGCTTCCTGGCTCTTGGGAATGAAAATGAAGCCACTGTTGGTCCTGGGTCATGCAATGTGGCCAAGACAAGACAATGTCACCAGGCAGATGAAACAGAATCTGTCTGTATTCATGCGTCTGTGTCAAATGGCTTCCAAAGGAACTGGAGCCCCCCTAGATCTATATAGCTCCAGGGAAGAACAGGTGAGAAGAAGGCAGACAGACACAGGGGCAGGGGACAGGCCAGTGGGAGATGAAGTCAGAGAGGGAGACAGCGTCGTCGGAGGCCCTGCCTGCAGAGAGCAATGGGCTGGGCCATGACCCCTGGCCCTCTGTGGACATGTTAGCAAATGCCCAGCCCCTTCTTGGATGTCCATGTGACTATGCGCTTTGGAAGGTTTCATGGAGTAGGGCTGAAGCTAAGCAAGTCCATCCAGCTCCTGAGTAGGAAACACTGACCAGACAAGGAGAGTAGCCAGGGACAGGGCTGGGAGTGCTGGGGGAGCCGGCAGATTGTTCCTGTAGAATAATCTGTCAAGAGGAGACGTTAAACAGGATGCCTGAAATTTGAGAGCAGAACAAGTCTGAAAAGAAGAATCATCAGAGTTTGAGACTTAGAAGAGAATAATTAGATTTGTGGGAACAGACTTTTGGGGGGAAACTCCGAGGGCTAAGAGAAAGAGAAAGAGCTCCACTCTTTAACCAAGGGTTGAGAAAGAACTCAACTCTTGACCTTCCTCTTCCGACACACAGCAAGTTCAAGTGGAAAGGTTCTTGGCTCCCGGGTGACCCTGAGACGGCAGAGAGACACTTATTTCTGTATCCTATTCCACACCTTAATAAACATCCCTTGAATGCCATCTCCAATAGCCCCCTGCTTAGGAACAGGATGAAGCTGATTACCTAAAATACTGATCAGAAAAGGAAAGGCCAGGAGACCCAAGTGATCAGCTCTACCCAGCTGGGGACTAAGGTCTTTGCCTACATCCCCAGTGGTGGGTGAAGTCAGAAGAGTAAAAATTCAAGAAAACTGAATGGGGACTAAGAGATCAGTGGAGGGATTACCCCAGTTGAGGTGGGAAGGCATCTGGCAGAGTTGGTCTCCCCTGTCAAGAGCACAGAATTGCCCTGGCATTCAAAAAGCCTATGATGTGACAGTCCTCAAGCCACTGTCACTGGGGACCTGGGGTTTTGCCTGCCCAGCACCCACTCCCCCTCCTTCCAGTTTTCCTTTAGTCAATCACTCTTTCTTCTCTGTGTCCACATGGCATGAGGTGTTGGGGGACAGGGGCTGGGGGAGGTTGGCCCCACCCACTTGCAGGGGAGGGCACGTGGCCCTTTCCTTGGACTCATGAAGGATGTTTTCTAGAATATTCAGGAAAGAAATATTCTCTTTGCCCAGGTTGCTTAGAAAGATAGTCGAAACGGA